TGATAAATTCTGTGATAAATCAGTTTCAAAAAAAATTCCTTGCTGTCAATCTGAAGTCTGCACTTCAACATTTTGTCTAGACTTGTCACTGATTTTTCTGAAGTAGCAGGTATTTCTTTATTTAATGTCTACATTCTCCACCCATAAATTGTTGAGCTTAGGAAGAATATACTGTATCTAGTCTAATTCAATCTATTCACTCCCTAATTATATTAGGTTGACATTATCTGCTGATATAAGCTTAGATTTTTGTTTTAGTATTGAGTGTTGTAGCAGAATAATTTTTACTTCTTTAATTCACTTTCAACAAGAAGCTCTTAGGTCTTCCTCATTTCTAACCACTATAGAAGTATCATCAGCATAATTGAAGTTTTTTATGTTTTTCCTGAAAAATTGAATACCAATTTCTGGGGTGGGGGGGATTTGATCTAATCTAACATTTCTTGAGATATGTTCTCCATTTAAGTTAAATAAGTTAAATAAATAAAGTTAAATACATAAGTAACAGTATACAACTTGGCATACTCAATTCTGAAACATTAGTTGTTCCACATTCTACTCATTTTTGTTTTCTAGTCATCCCAAAAATTCTTCAATAGGCAGACAAGAGGACCCTGTATAATCATGTTTTAAGATCTATTAATAATTAATTGTGGTCTACAAAATGAAAATCAGTTGTATAATCAATGTAACAAAAAATAGACATCATTTTGGAATTTGCCTTTTCCATTAACCACTGGATAGTTATGTTGTGTGCCAGTTATGTGTGTAGGTTGTACGCCAGTTACACCCTTTCCTGGACCAACAATTCCCATTCATGGTCACTCATGTCCTTGTCACTTCCCATCTTGACTATTGCAATGTGCTCTACATGGGGCTGCTCCTGAAAAGCATCCAGAAGCTCCAGTTTGTGCAAAATGCAGTGGCCTGCATGATTTCATGCAGACCTCATTGTGGTGGCTATGATTTCTGCAGTTCAAATATGGTGAGCCAAGACAAAATAATAGACTTTCATTACCACATGTATTGTTACATTCACACACATGCAGGACTGTCTTTGCTTGTAGAAACTGGCAGGGAGCAGTCACATGACCATAGGACCCTGCATCAGATTGTGTTAACGTGATTACATGGGTACTGAGACTGGATCTTTGAGGACTGGTCATATGTTCATTTTTTTTCAGTGTTGCTGTAACTCTAAATGGTCACTGAATGAACATATATAAACTGATGACTACGTATGTCAAAACAGACACACAGACAGATTTCTAAGAAATCCACAATACAGAAAACAATAAATCTTGACTAAATTAAGCATTGGTAAGCATGTTGTACAAACACAGATATTATGACAAAATCTATGTCATAGTAGGACTATACCTACTTTGAAATGTATCATTTTAGCATCTGCAGGAAGTTCCTCATAATTGAGGAACACTTGTTATATTTGTTACATTTTGAGGGATCGCCTTGCCCCAACTACATCCATCCATCCCATCAGGTCCAGCAGGAGGGGTATATGGCAGATCGCTTCAGCAAAGAGCTTCATGCCCAAGATGAGACCTTTTTCTGCCTTGGTACATTATTCCACCACCGCCACCACCCTGGGGCTGGTCCCAACATGGCTTAGGTATTAGGCCTGGGGATCCCATGGAGCCCTTTAAATGCCTAGTATAAGTTTGCACTATTCTCTGTCTTTTGTAATTGTAGTTTACTGTTTAATGAAAAAAATCACACTGAGCATTTAGTGCTTTTTAATTATGCACATTGTGAAAGAGTCACATGCAAGTGACATGGGCGGCTATTTAAATTAAATAAGTAAATTAAATAGTAAGTGCCTATGTTCCCCTTCTAGGTACTACAGGATTCCAACAGGGTTTCAACATCCCATTAAGCTGTGATTTAATCATGGTTTATCAAGTAAGAGCCACCTAACTAGGTTCAATTCTTTGTGGCCTAAGAAACAATTTATTGGCTAAATTTATTGACAATTTATTGGTTCCCACAATAAATCCCAACCCAAACGACATTTTACCGTACCTTAGCCCGGTGGCAGAAGGAAGCCTTTGGACTAGTTCAGCAAAATTGCAGCAATGGGAGCCCATGACAAACAAATTATCGCGGATTGGCATAGAGTGTAGTCAGTCCATATGCAAGAACTTCACACGACTAATGCATCGAATCCTTCTTTCCAATCGATGTTCGAATGCTTCCCAATGTTCGTTCGTTCCTCCCTCCCTCCCTCCCTTCCTTCCGATCGCCTTTCGAATGTATGCCACTGTTGCCGTGAAACTATAAAAACTAAGACAAAGCCGGGTTTCTAGACACGCTTCCTCATGCTTTAATCATTTGGCCTGGACCAGGGAACCGAACCACAAACTAACCCCTCACTTTTGGATCCGCGCATCCCGCGGCGCTAAAAACGAGACCGATTCCCTCGCAGTTCACCACCAAGGCAAACCCTTCAACAGCCGCCGCCGCACCAGCCAGCCTTCTTCATCTTCCCGCTTCTGTTCTCCGCCTCCGGAAGGGCCAATCTCTCCTCTCTCCTAGGAGGCGGGTCTAGGCTCGGCGTGAATCGGTGCGAAGTTCAGCGGTGGCCTTGTCAAGTTTGGTGAAAAAGAGAGAAAGAAAGGCTTTGTCATGGCTGCTCTGAGAGCCTGTCGGGTGAGGAGAAAGCTGGCCAAGAGGGGAAGGGGGTTTTAGGGGTCGCGGAAACCCTCGCGGGGCGGGGGGAGAGGAGGACTTCGGTTCAATCTGACTTTCCTCTGCCGTGCTGGAGGGTGTCTCCGTTTGCAGGATTTGGAGACAGCCGCCCGGGTTAGAACAGGCTTGGATTGTCCCTGCCAGAGGAAAAGTCCAGGGATTGAAGAGGAGGGTCGCCAAAAGTCGCAAGATGACAATCAATTGGGGGAAGGGAGATATCTGGGTATATTATTATTATTTGCAAAATTACGGGATATGGTATCAAAGTATGTCAAAGGTCGCCTATCTGTCGCCTCCCTTCTGTCCACCCGGGTAAAGTGACTCCAAAATCATTCCGTTGTTTTTGCTTGGTTTTTTCCCCTAAAACTTTCATGCTTTCTTTTAAACTTAAACATATAAGGTGGACTTTTCGAAGCAGGTAGGCCAAGTCTGTTGGCACAGCAAAAAAAAGTAGTATTGTTTGCCATGGTCTACTGGGCTTCTGTTACTTTCTAGTATGTGTGAAATTAATCCAGGTCAGAAACTTAGTCTCAGAATTATAAAGGTCTCTTGCTTTATCTAAAATATATATTTCTACATCAAAAAAATTACCTGATCCCCGGTAAAATTCAAAGTGTTTTTAGGATCTTATTTAAAAAGTTCATTTTTAATTTTGGTTCTGTGATATGCTGTACAAAGTTTTTTCTTGTGTGTAACATCAATGTTGCATTATTTTATCATTTAATACAGATTGTTTGTGGTGTTTGAAAATATAAACGACATATATTATAACAAGGGAGATCATTGTTCAAAATGATTGAAAACTTATATAAAATATTTCTCTAGAAATTATTTGCAATACTTATCGTATATAATTTGAAAGTTCTTACAGTTTATGGCAGTCAGTACTGATGCTAATATAATATGAAGAATCATCAATCATTTGGCATGATGATATGTATGTTAAATATAGGCTAAAATCTCAAGGTTGTAAAAGTAGGGCATAATGTAATTAGTATATTAATGTCAACATTCCTGTTGCATGACTCAATTTTCTCCTAGGAAGTCCCAGGAAATTAGATCAGGATCAAGTAATTTTTACCAGGGATCAGGTAATTTTTTTGGTCTTTGTTTACTTCTATGCAAATTTTCAAAGATATGGGAAACAAAACAATTACTAGGAATTTGAAAAATAAGTTATTTACCATAAGGAAAATTGGAATATGGAATAAGCCACAATAGAATGGTCCAAACAAAAACTATTGTGATAGTAATGGAATAAGGTGACACTTATGAGCAGTCCACTTAAAAAAAAAAATGCCACAAGAAATCATTCCAAATCTTGCAAAACAAGATATCAAAGGTCTGCTAAACAAAATATAAAATCACAAATATAAATGATTTTGGTAACCAGTAAAAAGTAATTAACAAAAAGCTTTTGCTTTCTAGTTAATATTATACTTTAGATGTTCCAGGGAGTTATTTTATAAGACCTATTTTTGTTCTTCAGTTTCTCTTTGCTTATGTGTGCTCATTTTTTATTGAGTTAATTGTACATTAACTTGAGTGGTTTGGGTCAATGTTCCCTCTAATTTTTTTTCAGTGTGAGCGGAAAAGTANCAACATATATTTTATGCAGTGGTGGGTTGCAAGCGGTACGCCCTGGTACAGGTGTACCGGAGTCTGCCCGAAGCACTGGGTACGGTTCCGGTACTGTGCTCCGGAGGGCCCGCCAGCACTCCTTACCCATCTTTAAAGCCTTCGGTGCTTCCGCGCATTCATATGGCACATACACTCCACCGAGCAACTGGAACGTTGCTGAGGCTTGCGGACGCGTCGCTGGAGGGTAAGACCCGTGTGCGCGGGCGCCATGCGCATTCATGTGGAGACCGCCGGGCCCCATTGCAACCATAGCGGTTGCAACGGGATCTGGAACCCACCACTGGTTTTATGCATATTGAACAATAAGCCATTTAAGGACTTTCTTGTGGAGTCCTTGGTGCCCTTGAACTTGGTTGTTTTCTTGCAGACATTTCATTATCTAACTAGGGAACATCAGTGCTAGCTTACCCTAGTTGTGAATGAAATAACTGCAATAAAAGCTCAGAGAGCACCAAGCTACAAATATTCTCTTCTATCAGCAAAGTTTCTTGAGAATCTAGAACACATGAAGTCTACTGCCCAGAGTTGCAGAGTGACATATAATAAATAAATAAGACTGAATTGAGTATACTGTTTAAATACATACTACCATTGCATATTTGGAAGTTAAATTTTCAACACTAACTTTTTCCTCTTCCCTCAAACAATTCCAGCACCAAGCAGTGTCCTTCATGTTGGCCGAAATGGCACTGAAAGTGGAACTGTCTCGCCTGGCCTACCAGAGGGCAGCATGGGAGGTAGATGTTGGTCGTAGAAATACCTATTATGCCTCCATAGCAAAGGCATATGCGGGAGATACTGCAAATCAAGTAGCTGCTGATGCTGTCCAAATTTTTGGAGGAAATGGATTCAATAGTGAATATCCAGTAGAAAAACTAATGAGGGATGCAAAAATATACCAGGTAAGTAGTCAATACCATTAGTATATTTAAGCTAAATTTACATTTATATAATGCTAAAGGAAATGTGCCTTTTTTGGTTGATTCGCATGTAACCACTCTGTATTGACAGGACTCATGGCAGCTCTTCTATTGCTCTCTAAAAGGATATAATATTATTTTTAATGGAATGTTTAATATGCTTTTAATTCTTTTTAATTAGTCAGAATGTTTTTTCTTGTTTCTATTAACTAATTGTAGATTTAGTAATACAACAGATTTTATCATAGCACTGAATAGCAATAACACTTAGACTTACATAACTCTTCACAGTACTTTAAGCCATCTCTAAACGGTTTATGGAATCAGCATTTTGCCCCAACAATCTGATTCTTCATTTTACTGACCGTGGGAGGATGGAAGGCTGAGTCAACCTTGAGCCGGTGGGACTCGAATTGCCGAACTGATGGCAGCCGGCAGTCAGCATTAGTAGCCTGCAGTACTGCATTCTAACCACTGCGCCACCAGGGAATAAAGAAAAGTCAGTTTTTATATGGAGAAAAATGTAAAGAGTTTAGCTTGAAAGTATGTCCTTTTGTAGTACTCACTTCTGGTCCCATAGAGTTGCTGGAAAGTAATCTTATCTCATTCAGTAATATAGGTAATCCTTACTTAATGACCACAGTTGAGACTGGCAACTCCATCATTATGCAACATGGTTGTTAAGCACATAGCTATGAAACACTGCAATGGTTGTAAAATGTGTACCAGTTGCAAAGCACTCAAGTAGTGACCGCGGGAATAACGTCAGTTGCAAATTCAAGGACCAATTGTAAAGTTACTTTTTAAGTATCACCATAACTTGAGACAGTCATTAAAAAGGTCACTTGCTAACTAAGGACTACCTGTATGTATTTCCAAGTTGAAGCATATAACATTGCTGTTTCTGACTTAAATACACCATTTCTTGGTGATTATTTTTCTTCCTGTGTTTTGTTTTGCTTTGAGGAGGCATTGTGGTGTTTTGTTTAATAATAGTTTCTATAAAATGTAGCAATGCAGTTTTTAAATATACAGGTGCAGATTTCATCTTACCTGCTTGTTACATATTTTCACGTTAGACAATAACTAATTAAATTTAAATAATTTTATACACAGTAGGGATTTTAAGCGCAATGTTCCATGGTAGCCTATTATTCAGCAGTAAAAGACAAACATCCTAGTAGCCCTAGGTTCAGGCTTAATCAAAAGTAGCTCTGTGGACTATCAGTTAAGTTTAGATTTTTGTTCTCTCATAATTTAAGATACACTGTTTTCATTAACATTTTGTCTATCGTAATCCTATTTTAAATTGACTTGACACACTATCATATATATTCTCTTTTCAGATTTATGAAGGAACAGCTCAAATTCAGAGAATAATTATAGCTCGTGAACATATTGGCAAGTTTAAAGCTTGAGAATGTCCCTGATGTACATTAGCTTGATTTACAAATGTTGGGCTTTTTTCTCCTGGTGTTTTACTTTTAATATGGGACAAAAATGGCATGCAACAATGTATTGTCAAGACCTAATATATGAAAAATCCAGTCACTTAATTTCTAGAACTATTCAAGAGATTTCACATTTTTGTTCAGCTTTATCTGAATATGGTTATCGCTGTTCTTTGAAATCTCTATAGTGTATTTAAAGTGCCTTGGAGTTTTGTAATTGAACAGGTCACTGACCTAAATTAGATGAAGAATTTCATACCAAATTGAAGTCTGGGAGCCATATGTGAATTAGATATTGTTAGATATGTATTACAGCATTACTACATATTACATATTGACTACATTAAAATATTTTTGTAGATAAATTAGTTTTATTGCCTGCAGTTGGATTCATAAAGAAGAGCTATTTTTGTTTCACAGAGCAGAATGAAATTTAATTAAAGTTCCTTGCTGAAAGATGCAAAAAATTTTTTTTATTCAATCGCCTTTCCCATGCCTTAATGCCACTGTTTGGAGTGTTACTTCAATTCTCTAGGATAAAATTTTGAGGATGTTGTAAGAAGAAGAGAGAAAATGGTGCCTTAAATGACCAGTCAACAATTCCAAGTTACAGTTACAGTTACAGTTAACGAATGATGGTTACAACTAGTTCTTGGAGTTCTGGTCATCCTAGCACCCTGCTAGTCATGTGATTGCAATCTGGGTGTTTGACAACCAATTCACACTTACAGCCAGTTGGCATGCATCCCACAATCACTATTGCCACTTGCAATATTTCCTGCTAGCTTCCCCAGGCCAATGGGGAAGCTAGAAGGAAAGATTGTAAGTTGCTGATCTAAGTGTTTCCTATCACACAGTCTTCCAGCCTCTCTGCACTTACTTCACATTAGTAACTCACCCTCTGATTCGTACCCCTGTGCATATCTGCTGACCTGATTGGCACTTTGTGCACCCTCAGCAACCCTCATGGCACCTCTCGCATACTGTCCCTGACTCATGCATCATCCTTTATGCACCCCCTCACATCACATCTTTTGAGAACGCAAACTCCTGTCGCAATTGCTGTTGGAAGGACTATCTGTACCAGAGGCGTCAAACTCGTGAGGTGCGGGCCAGATGCGTCACGCACTGGCCACACCCACCATTTTGTGGGAGTTGTGATACATGATGACATGAGTTTGACACCCCTGATCTGTACTCAAATATACTCACATAGCCATGCAATGCAATTTTCCCCTAATAATTTTATATTTACAGTATTCTTATGAGCTGTATTTTCAAATTACCAATAAACCAAAATTATATATGCCTAAATATGACCTTTTTATTATAATGGTGTATATAGTTATTTTGGTATTGAAACTGAGACATCTGATTCATGTTAATCCTTATGTGTGCTGAAGTATGTTAACCTGTCTTCCCCCAAAGAGATGAAGTTTATTTAAATAGCAAAACCAAATGAAAAAGTTTAAAAAAACATTGTTGGGCTGTGAGCTTCATTTTATTTCCCCAATAAAACATTATTTGCTAATGTCCTTTTTTTCCTCTCTCTTCTCCCACCCTTCACAACCACTAGACCTACTTTAAGGGTCCTCATTTATTTTTGAGAGAAGTGAAAGAAACCTCCATCATACCAGTGGAAATCTATTAAAATAATATTAGATTTATATCAGGAAGACTAATATTTATATGCCTAAATTATGTTTGCAGAGCTATACAAACACTGAAAGTATTTACTTATAAAGCCTCTTTGCCTCTAGTCTGGAAAAGCCTGCTTCCTATTCACTGAGGACATTAGCGTAGCAATCTATGTTGGATTAAAGTTATTTGGAAAATTGTCGTTTTCTTTGGGAAAATGCCAGAAAATCTCCCAATTGAACATCTGTTGTACAGTATTACCTCTATTGCATTTGGCCATGGGGGGGGGGGGGGGGAGTAGCTGTTGCTGCTAAAGATACCTCTTTTGTATAGCTTTTCCTTCCCTTAGTTGGGGTTCAATCTGGGGAATGTGAACCTTGTTCATTCTTTTGATCAGAAAGCAGTACACCACATTTATTGTCACCCAGATCTGAAAAGCCCAGGCTAAGTGCAGATTGTTCACTTTCCCTCTTTGTATTGGCTGTTTGTCTGCCCTACCAATGAAGCCATAATCGGTATTCCAATAGCTGCAATAACTACTATTGTTATGAAGGCAGCAACACTGCAGACTTTAATGTGGAGCCAAAGTAAGAAACACAATGGAGACACCGATTTTCAGATGACATACTTTCCCCCCTTTCAGAATAGGATGAAGGTATGGTGGAGAGCGTAACAATGGTTTTGAATGTACTCCCTTTGTACTCAGTTTGCCTAATAGTGCAGTGATGAGAGTCCAAATTCTTCAAAAATAGTTTTGTCACCTTTTCCAGGCTGAGTGTGAGCAGCTGTTTTTCAGAGATCCTCAGAAATCTTTCTTCCAGCTGTGATACAATTCTGTATACCTGTGTCGTGAAAAACTCACTTTTGATAGTAAAGACCCTGAATCTGCTCTTGAACTAAGGCAGGATCTCCCACTCACACTTCATTATAATCTCATTAATTGAAACACCTGACTAATTTCACCATCAAATGAGAGTGAGGTTTATATACTTTTGCCACACAGAATTATGTACCTTTGTATCATTTTCTTCAATAAATGAACAAATCTGATTTTGAGTCCTTTATTTAATTTGCTTTTCTAATTGTAGAACTTCTATGGAGAACAAATCAAGTTTTAAGTTATATTTATATAGATAATATCATTTTCATTTCCTTTTCGCATTTTAAGAAAATAATCTTGCATGATTCAACTTTGAGTGCCCAAAGTGATCTCTCCAAACTCTGTCTTAAGGTATATTAGCAGAGGAACTAATGCAGTCTTTTGCAGTAGGTTTTAATTCCTTATAACTTTTTGGAGTTAATATAAGATTGCAGAATGTTTGATATCTACAATCATCAGTTCCTTGAATTAATTTCAAAACCACAAAGGCAAGGAGGTGGGAATCAAGCAAGTACAGGTAGTCCTTGACTTACAACCGTTCATTTAGTGACCATAGTACAAACAACTGAAAAAAGTGGCATGACTGTTTTTCACTCTTACAAGGGTTGCAGTATCCCCATGATGTGATCAAAATTTGGATGTTTGGCAACTGGTTTGTATTTATGATAACTGCAGTTTGACAAAGCAGTCAACGGGGAAGCCAGATTCGCTTGATCACCGTTACTAACTTAGTAACTGCAGTGATTCATTTAACTCTGACAAGAAAGGTCGTAAAATAGGGCAAACTTCACTTAACAAANAGAGATGCATCTTATACTCTGAAAAATACAGTATGTTATGCCCTTTTAATTTTTTATGCATATCTAGAAACTTGAAATCTTTTGTTTTCTAGAACTTACTGATGAACAGAAGGAATTTCAAGCTACAGCTCGTAAATTTGCTAGAGAAGAAATCATACCTGTTGCTTCTCACTATGACGTAACTGGAGAGGTAGATATACAATAAATAGGAGAATACCATGTTTAAAATTTCAGTGAATAAAACTCTTCAGCAGAGGAGCTCTGCATGATATTTTTCGTGTCTGTTTCCTTTTTAGTATCCTGTTCCTCTCATTAAAAGGGCATGGGAGCTTGGCTTGATGAATACACACATACCAGAAAGTTGTGGTAAGTAAAGTACTTCATAAGCTATAGAACCAAATAAACAGTGAAATACATGTATAAGCAATAACACTAAGGATATTACAATCCAATCTGATTTTGAATATATGAGATAAGTGTTTTATAGAGGTGTTATATGACATGCTACAGATGATATGTAAACATGTTGAATTGACTTAATTGAGTGATATTCTGTTGATCTCAAACTGTTTCCTGTATTATCTTTACAAATACATAAATAGTAATAAAGATCATTTTTTGCTCAATGTACACATTTATGATCAAATTTCATAACTTGACAACAAAAGGCTTCGATGTGAAACTGATTAATGTCTAGTGAGTTTTAGGCAACAGTAAGAGTTCTAATCAACTAATTAAAGTCAGAGTTGAGCTTGTTAACCATTTTAGGGAAGTGCTGGGCTAAAAGGAAAAACAGCTCAGGAAAAGATAGCTTGGTTAAGCAATTTCTCCATTCTGCAAGGGGGCAAAAAGGGGGGAGGGGAATGGATTACACACAGAGTAACTATCTGAATGCGGAGCAACAACCAGGAATTTTTTCTCTCTCTCTTTCTCCCCTTGTCAGTTGTTCATTTAGCAGCCCTTTTGCCTAAGTTGCTGGAATGTCTTGCATCACTAAATCAGGAGGGGGTGCAATAGAACATTAAATAATTAACTTGACATAACATTTATTTGTGTGGAATATTATTTATCTGAAAGAATTTTTGTAGGTGGCCTTGGCCTTGACACTTTTGATGCCTGCCTTATTACTGAAGAATTGGCTTATGGATGTACAGGAGTTCAGACAGCTATTGAGGCAAATTCCCTAGGTGTAAGTGTTTGCTTTAATTTTACTTATTATTTACATTATTTAACGTTATTTTAATTGGCATTAGGCTCTGTCTTCCCATATTAAACAATAAACTTTTTTGTTACAGCAAATGCCAGTCATAATTGGGGGAAATGAGCAACAGCAGAAAAAATATTTAGGAAGAATGACTGAAGAGCCCCTAATGTGTGTAAGTGTTTTTGGAATATTGATAGAATGGTATTTTGATTTCCGTCATGAAAGAAATCTACAAAAGTATATTATGTGATGTGATGTTATGTTATACTTACGTCCTAGTATGTTATATTATGTTATTATTCAGAGTAATACATTTGAACTTTAACAACATAACTTAATAGTAATAAAAATATTTGTGAACATGAAGTTACACCTTGCTATAATAACTACAGAATTCACTACAGTAGTAACCTAAATAAACAGCAATGTCATTGTCTCAGTAATGTCTAAAATTGGATGGGGTAGTGTTAAAATAAATAGTCAGTTTGTGGTCTTGGTTGAGGAATATATAGAAAGAGTTCATTTAATAAGATTATTCTGCATATACTCAAGAATTTAAATATTAATTGGTATCAATCTTTGTGATGAATAAAGCAATATAAACATTTAGCAATAAAACAGTGATGTTTCATTAGGATTTCTTCATATTCTCAGTAGTTCTCCACAATTTTAATGTTTTCATAATTTTAAGTTATTCAGTTATAATGAAAGTTAACCAAATTACTGATGATTTTGTATCATGTTCATGTAGAATGGCCGGATTTAGTGTTTATTTTTTCACATTTTAGTACGTGTAGTACTGTATAGTTTTTAATTTGATGTTTTATATTTTCTTCTTTAAGGCATATTGTGTAACAGAACCTGGTGCAGGCTCTGATGTAGCAAGTATAAAGACAAGAGCTGAAAGGAAAGGAGATGAATATATTATTAATGGACAAAAAATGTGGATCACCAATGGTGGCAAAGCTAATTGGTATAGCAATTTATTTAAGCTACTTAAATAAGGCTCAGTTATAAAGTATGTCCCTAACATTTTTTTAGGAGATGCATAGAGGATCCTACTATAGCTTCATATTTTAAGTGTTGGTCATAATTTAGATATAAACATTTAAATGTGCAAAAACAATTTTTCAACAGTATTTTCATTCTTGTATCACACTTGTATCATTCTATAACCAAGCAATACAATGTTTGGACCTGAATGTTGTGTTATTATTACATACCAATTTTTATCCCATTTATTTGGCCAATAGTATTATTTTCCTCATTCTAAATCATATCATTAATTTCTTTAGAAAAAAGAAGAAGAATTCAGTAGATGAGCGTGGGCTAAAAAGAAGATAAATTTGTAGAGGCGAAGTCCTTCCTTCACCCAGAATCAGTGTATAATACTGACATGTCTAGTTTTATGTATGAATTGAAATTTAGAATCAAAATCATATTAAGATCTACTGAATTTATTGGGGCATATGTCTGAATAAAAACAAAGGATTGTGCTAGAAGACTGTTCTCTCTCTTCATGAAGAATATGTGATCAGTATTTTATATGCTGTAAGAAAGCTACAAGAGAGTTAATAGTTTCTGATGGTCCGTGAGCACATTTGTAAATATTGTGCTTTTATTATGTTCCAACTAGGTATTTTTTATTGGCACGTTCCAATCCTGATCCAAAAGCTCCTGCAAGTAAAGCTTTTACTGGATTTATTGTGGAAGCTGACAGCCCTGGAATACAGATTGGAAGAAAGGTAGAAATGGAATATCTTAATGCTAATTTGAAGATTTGGTATTGGTTCTTCTTAGTAGTTAAGAAATCATTGACTATAAAATATATATAATAAAATGTATAAAGTATTCTTGCAGTAGTTATCCTGTATAAAGCTAATTGGATATTCTTTGTGGGAATGTAGTGAAATGTAATAAAAATAGTAGTTGGAAAAGAAATCAGACTTTTAGCATTTGTTCCATTCTGTTATAAACCATTTTCCGAAATTGTTCAGCTTTGTAACATTGCCACCAAATATAGGCCCAAATCTGATTTCTAAAAAAACTTTATTGAATTTATTTTTAATACACGTGTAAGAACAAATAAACAGTGGGAGGAACCGGTTTTAATCTTAGTTTTCTGATGAACCTACTTCAGTTTTGTTGAATTAAAAATAAAGTTATAATAGTAATTATTTATCATATAAAATTCCTTTTCAGGAAATTAACATGGGCCAGCGCTGTTCAGATACCAGAGGGATTGTTTTTGAGGATGTAAGAATACCCAAAGAAAATGTACTTATTGGTGAAGGAGCTGGATTTAAAATTGCCATGGGAGCTTTTGATAAAACAAGGCCTCCAGTAAGTATTCAAAGTACATTTGAAAGAGGAATTCGAATTGTAGAACTTCTGCTTTGTAATATTTAGTACTGATCTACAGGTAGCAGCTGGTGCTGTTGGATTAGCACAGAGAGCTTTGGATGAAGCTACAAAATATGCTATGGAAAGAAAAACCTTTGGGAAAGCCATTGCAGAGGTATGTGGAATTCCAGCTACAGATGTAATATGGTATGAAATCAAATACTCCATTAATAAATTTAAGCTCAATTACTTCCCTTTTTCTTGGCCTGTTGCTCATCTTGTATCATCTTATGGATTTTAAGCAGAGATAGAGCAGTGTTTCCTCAACTTTAAGCTATGTGGATTGGAACTCCCAGAATTCCCCAGTCAGTATTGGGAACGCTGGTGTAAAGAGTTAGCAAGGAAGAATCATACCATTCAGTGAAACTTGTTTCTGCTAATGGAAGCACATTTTTGAATTTTTGCAGTTTGTAGGAATTTAAAATATTTTTTTCACAGAGTGCTTGTAGAGACTTTGGAAATTTTCAATAATACAAAAGTCACATTAAAGTCACAATAATATCACAATAACAAAATATTAAGAAAATAATAACAATAACAAAATATTCAATCACAATCACAAAATATACAGTTTGCTTTACCAGACTCCACTTACTGTAGATGAAGAGAATCTTGTGTGGTATAAGAAATTTAAAAATAGCTTCACTTCTTACTTACATTGCTAGGCTAGTATACGTACTGCTGATATTGCCATATGTTACATCATATGTTCCATCTGAAATAGTGGTAGGTAAATTGTTGGTCTCCAGAAACCATGGGCCAATGGTTAAGGGTGGCGAGCATTGCAATGCAACAACCCGGAAAGAAGCATACATCTTACCCCTTTACAGAGTCACTTATATTTCTATTGTGCTCGCTGTTTACCAACATATATTTTATGCAGTGGTGGGTTGCAAGCGGTACGCCCTGGTACAGGTGTACCGGAGTCTGCCCGAAGCACTGGGTACGGTTCCGGTACTGTGCTCCGGAGGGCCCGCCAGCACTCCTTACCCATCTTTAAAGCCTTCGGTGCTTCCGCGCATTCATATGGCACATACACTCCACCGAGCAACTGGAACGTTGCTGAGGCTTGCGGACGCGTCGCTGGAGGGTAAGACCCGTGTGCGCGGGCGCCATGCGCATTC